CTTAGCGTCCTACTGCGGACGGTTGCGGACGGTTGCGGACGGTTGCGAACGGTTGCGAACGGTTGCGGACGGTTGCGAACATAGAAGCAACGGGTCGCGAACAAGGCTCTACCCCCAGACCCCCAAGAGTTAAACAAGAACCCTTCGCTACGCATTCGGGAAAAAGCAAAGAAAGCACCAAAAGCCAAAAGCCCAGAAACCACAGAATCAGAAGCCAAAAGCTTCCAAAGCCAAGGCCAGAAACCACCAAAGTGAAGCAAGCAAATGATCATACGAAATCAAATCACAGCAATACCAAAGTTAATCTCGCCCTGCACTGCATTACATTAAATTACATTGCTATAAACGTTTTTTGAAACAAGATGGAGCCCACGAACCCGAATGCAAACACGTTCCAAAAGCTACATATGTCCAAGTGACACTCTTGTAGGACACTCTTGTGGGTCACTCTTGTAGGAAACTCTTGTGGGACACTCTTACGGGACACTCTTGTGAGACAGTCTTGTGGGACACTCTTGCGGGACACTCTTAAGGGACACTCCTGTGAGACACTCTTGCGGGACACTGTTGCGGGACACTCTTGTGGGACATGTGGGACACTCATTTGGGACACTCTTGTGGGACACTCTTGTGGGACACTCTTGCAGGACACTCTTGTGGGACACTCTTGTGGGACACTCTTGTGGGACACTCTTGTGGGACACTCTTGTGGGACACTCTTGTAGGACACTCTTGTGGGACCCTCTTGTAGGACACTCTTGTGGGACACTCTTGAGGGCACTCTTGTGGGACACTCTTGTAGGAAACTCTGGTGGGACACTCTCGTGGGACAGACACTGTTGCGGGACACTCTTGTGGGGCACTCTTAAGGGACACTCTTGTGAGACACTCTTCCGGGACACTGTTGCGGGACACTCTTGTGGGACATGTGGGACACTCATTTGAGACACTCTTGTGGGACACTCTTGTGGGACACTCTTGCAGGACACTCTTGTGGGACACTCTTGTGGGACACTCTTGTGGGACACTCTTGTGGGACACTCTTGTGGGACACTCTTGTAGGAAACTCTTGTGGGACACTCTTGTAGGAAACTCTTGTGGGACACTCTTGTGGGACACTCCTGTGGGACACTCTTGTGGGATACTCTTGTGGGACACTCTTGTGGGACACACTTGTGGGACACTCTTGTGGGACAATGTTGTGGGACACTCATACGGGACACTCTTGTGGGACACTCTTGTAGGACACTCTTGTGGGACATGCGGGACACTCTTGTGGGACACTCTTGTGGGACACTCTTGTGGGACACTCTTGTAGGACACTCTTGTGGGATACTCCTGTCGGACACTCTTGTGGGACACTCTTGTGGGACACTGTTGTAGGAAGCTCTTGTGGGACACTCTTGTAGGACACTCTGAGTCTCAAAAACGAGCGTTTCGTACGAGACTTCCTCCAAAAGTCACACGTCAAGTCTCCAAAACGAGCGCTTCGTACGAATCTTCCTCCAAAAGTCACATGTCAAGTCCCCAAAACGAGCGTTTCGTACGAGACGTCATCAAAAACTCACATGTCAAAGTCTGCAAAACGAACGTTTCGCACGAGACTTCCTCCAAAAGTCCAGCGGAAACACCCATCGGAGCACACACATCACGCAGCCCTGCCAAGCAGTTTCGCGATTCCAGCCCCTCCAAACGACACCCGCTCACACGCCAATCCCAATGTGACAGCGACATTCACCTCTACCACATCTCACAACCTCCCGATTCCCTGCGCCTGCCACGAATCTTTCCGCGTCCACACGTCTAACGCGCACAAAGTACTGCGCCTGCCACGAAATGTCACCTCCGTCACACATCGCAACCTCACGATTCCCTGCGCCTGCCACGAAAATCCCACTTCCACACCTCAAAGCCCGCACAAAGTCCTGCGCCTGCCAGGAAAAGTAACAATGTCGTCTCATGTGAGCTTCAACAAAATTTGCACCACACCACACGTTTGGAATGATTTCGACCCGTTCTGAGCACACTCCCATCCACCAAAATCGGCATTTCAGCTGAGACTTGTCACGAAAACAGAGCTTCGAGGCCACACCCTGAAACGCAAATCCCAATGGCACGGCCACATCCAACACCCCAAAAACACGACTCTCCAAACGCTAATCCCAATGGAACTGCGTAGCAAACTGCGGATCTCACAAAACGATGCGCCTGTGCAGTGAAATGCATCACGCTTCTTGCGCGACATGTCCTTTTCACGCAAATCACAATGGACTCGCGTCGCAAACTAACACGTGACACATCCATGCATAGTCACTTGCAAAAGCTTCCCCCAATGGCAGCGCCTTAGCGACCTACTGCGGACGGTTGCGGACGGTTGCGAACGGTTGCGAACGGTTTGCGGACGGTTGCGAACATAGAAGCAACGGGTCGCGAACAAGACTCTACCCCCAGACCCCCAGAGTTAAACGAGAACCCTTCGCTACGCATTCGGGAAAAAACACTGTATGTATATAACTATATACAATACATTACCCTACATACAAATGCAGCCACACAAGAACACGACGCAAGCATGCACAAACAGTCTAAGTGTCTGATATTCGGCTGCTTCTGTGCTTCTGTTTTGGCGGCTGTATGTATGCTGCAGCATGCTCAAAGAAAATGACTGAAAACAGCAGGTTCTTATCTTTCTTGGGCACCTTGCAACCTTGAGCCCTCATACCACCAAAATATCAGCAACATTCGATGTCAGCTCCTGCTCTTGCTTCTTGCGGAAGCAGCCGCACAAAGGCAAGTTGCTGCACTTGTGCCTCCCAACCATCGAATGCCAAAGAACACCCACAAGTAACCAACAAATAGTGGTTCATAAAAATGCTAGCAGTGCCATCCTGCGTGGTCACATGTGACACACTCTAAGCGGGTTGTCTGTTGACCATGCCCAGGTGTCTATCACCTTCTTTGTGAAGAAAACGGGAATGAAACGAGAAGGTGAGAGCTCCTTTAAAGGCCCTTACTTGAGGGGCCCGGACCTGTTGTTCTTCATTGTTCTTTTGTCATGACTTTTGATTAATTCGTGCAGTGGAGCTCCCTCACCTATGAAAGAGAGAGGCCAGTGCTGCACCGGCCATGGCCGCCCCCACCACTGCCACTAGAAGGAAGGCTGCCGGGAAACGGCTCCCTTGCAGGCAGGCAGAAGAAAATGCACTCAATGACTCACAGATTGCCGAGTACAGTAGGTCCTGTCCAAGACTGCTCTTGAAGTAAAGGCCCATTTGTTTACAAATGTTCATTGAGTAGTAAGTATGTTGACATGTCGACATGTCATGAATCGCGAGTGGGCCTTCATCGAGCTCTGTGATTCCTGCAAACTGTGGCCCACTGTTCACACCAGAGGAGTCGCCAGTGCCGCCGGTGGAGCACATAGCATCGTGTAGCCTCCAATCCTGACGCACTTGCTCTTTTTCTCCCACGCGAAGCCCGGAACTCCCCGAGTTTAGCTGCAAATCAAGCGGCCGCACAGTGGTGCAAAGGGAAGAAAGGCGCCTCAAAGGTGTGGCGAGATCTCACAGATATTGTGGCAATCAACTGGCAACTGCACTGGCACTCAACTGATGTATATAGAAGTTTGGACCACAAGGAACATTGTCACGATGTCAAACACAATGTCAAAGGGAATGTATTTGAATCAGTCCAAGTGGCTGAAGATGGGTCAGAGTGGCACCAAGCATCCATGGCTTCGGTGCAGGAGAGCCCTTCAATGACACTCTCATTGGTGGCGTTCTCCTACGCGCGAATGGGACAATATTTATACGCGTTCGCAATTCGCACCTGCGACCAGCACTTCCAGAGCACTCCTAAAAGACGAACTGATCACCAGATATCCTTCATACCTATGGCCAAACCATATTCTTGCCACACAATCCCACAATACTGTAATACTATGCTTACACAATACTCCCTACTGTACTACATTATATATAGCGGTGAAGCCACATGCAAGTGCTCCCAAAAGCCAAAAAGCAGCTTTAATATAGGGCAAACTGCCTGAACCGAACTCTGGGCAAAGCTTTCAAAAGGCTAACAAAATATCGTGTACTGTACCACCACTAGCAGAGAGAGATCTGAACAATCCCATGCCAGGACTGCCTGAAGCCAAGGCTGTCAAGCCTGTCTTTTCCTTTCCTCTAACAAGCTGTGGGCAATCACAGCACGAAACTCCTCCAGCTCCTCGCCTGTAGTGGACTCTCCACCCTGTCAGGGATTCAGCAACGGAGTAAGTCCACAAAATCACCTGCAAACAATATAAAACTTCTTGGCAACCCTGCAGACATTCAAGTTTGCGCTAAGATTTCTCCATACTACAAAGATCACCTGTGATTCCAATGTGGTTCCATGGATAAACTGTCGCCTCAGGCACTGTTGTGCTGGGTGCAGTGGCGGTCAAAGAGCGCGTTGCTGTGGTCACTTTCCCCTAGCGAAATTGGGACACTGGCGTCAGGTGTCCCGCTGATCACTGACGTTCACGTGGTCGCAAAAGACCAAGTGGATCCAAGTGGGTCGTTTGTCAAGCGGGTTGGACATCGATGAGGTGTATACAACCACCCAGACTCCAAACCCAAAAATAATTCCTCCAAAACCGAAAAATATACTCCTCAAGATCGAACTGCATTTCTTGTGAATCGGAAATGGGTTTAACATCAGCTTGCCATCAATGATATGGCATGAATTGTCATGATTACTTGCTTGATGCTGCTAATACACAAAGATCCTGTGTCCCTGTGCCGTCCTTCGGTGCAGTGGTGGTCGGCATTTCGGAGGTGGTGGATGGGTCTTCCTTATATGCTTCAACCTTGCAACACCTGACTGCCTCAAACGCCATGAAGAGAGCAAAGCATTGAAAACACAAACAGGAAACACATCACAGGAGATATACGCACTGCGATGTAGCATGTAGGAGAATAAGAGAAAAAGGATATGAAAAAGGGAAAGTAAAGCCCCTTTTTCATCTCTGCTTTCTCTTTTTACTCTCTCGCCCTTCGTGCACCTTGCACCATACTATATTTTTACTATGAAATTGAATCTAACTGATGCATATCACTCCAGCATCTATCACGTCTGTGCTGGTTGAGGACCAGGTCGTGCTCTTGATTGGCGTGCTGCTGCCCTCAGATGTGAAACGAAGGTACCAAAACAGGGCTTGGAATGAACCCAACAGTCGACATGGAGGCACGAAGGGCGACATAGCAACAGTTGATACTCTGCAGGCCTTGATATCACCGAACTTGCACAACTTGCTGGCAAGTTCGGTGAGTATCTAAAGCACATGAGCATCCACAAATGGAAGTGAACCTAGCATGTGCGTCAAGACTAATTATATCTATATAATACATAATTACCAGTGACTACCAGAGCTGCTGGCTGCTGATTCCACCATCCATCCCCTACACATTGTGACATGAAGCGAGATGAGCTCTTTGATGCAAAAGGTTGCAAAGGAGCACTTGGAGCCAGTCCAAGAATGCACTTGGAGCCAATGATGAGATAAGAAGTCCTGTTGAGACAAGCCTCGGACAGTCTAGTAGTAGAGCTCGCAGTGATAGTTCCCAGGATCGAGCCTGCAAATGTCAAAAGACTGGAGAATGTTCAAGAAAAGCTCGAAGCTGACAAACAAACGGTTGAATCATTTGACCTAGGAGAAGGGAACCGAAAAGCGAGTCGTTCAAAAAGAACTTGCCTTGGTAATCTCAGTAGATGAATCATGCTATGCTGTTGCACTTCGTTCTTCTGCCCAGTGCCAGCATCGGGGCATCTTCTAATCACAACAAACATGCAAACGGTACACACACACATGAGCCTTGGGCTGTTGTGCGAGTTCCTGTGCCTGTGACTGTCCTGCTTGTCCTTGTGTCTGTTGCAGTGGTGCTCAGAGTCTCACTTGTGGAACTGCCAGTCACTGCGGCTTTGTTGCCACTGGTTGTAGTGATTGTCGTGCCAGTCGTGGCTGTCTCACTTCTCGTGGTGCCCCTCAGAGTGGATGTTGGCGTCACACTTCTTGTGCGGCTCGAAGTAGCTGTGAATGTCTCACTTGTCATGGTGCCAGTGGAGGTGCCACTCAGAGTCGTGGAGAGGGTCTCAGAGAAGGTCTCACTTGTCATGGAACCTGTGGAAGTAGCTGACAAAGTCTCGGTGCTTTCTGACATGCTAGTTGTGAGAGTCGTGAGAGTTCGAGTCTTGCTGGCCATGGTGCCAGTCAAAGTAGTCGTGAGACTCTGACTTGTCAATGTGCCTGTCAGTGTTGTGATCGTTTCACTTCTCGTCGTGCCGGAAAGAGTTGTTGTGAAAGTCTGAGTCCATGCCAACGAGGTCGTCCACGTCTTGCCTTGACCAAATCAAATCTTCTGCATCAATCAACATCGAGACCTATCAACAAACCGTTGACACCTGCGTGGTTCTGTCCAAACTGGGCAACCCACTGGCAAAAATCAAGTGAACATGTTTTCGGGAAAACAGGTTGTTGCATGCTTTTGCAGGTCTTGATTTTGGAAGCAAATAAGATAAAATAAGTCAGCCGACTTGAAGTTGTGCTTGAGATCGTCTCATTCCTGGGCGACAGTCATGCGGGAGGTGGCACACATGGCAAGAGACTCCACGCAACTCAAATCTTCCAAGACCCTAACTGGCAAAGCAGAGAAACTAAATAAATAGGTACATTGGGATCCCTATCTTTTGTCAAACAACACATCATACTCCCATCATCATCCATCTCATTCTCCAATTTGCAAGCTGCTCTGGCTCAGTGATGTTGATCTCAGTCAAGTTGGATCCGGCTGCAAAGGAATTATAGAGATTGCCCAGGGGTGTCAGTGTGCCATTCGGATGCACCAGGCCGGCATCTCCATTCCTGGCATGGTAAAGGGGGAAGTCTTCGTGTTTGAGGGCAGAAGTGAAGGGCAGCCTTTGGCTTCACTGAGCGCTTCTGAACTCCAGTCCCTTGAACACCGGAGCGGCTTTGCAAGCGAGGCACTCACCATCAACCTTGGCTCACTCGGAGACAACGAGCAACATGCCAAAACGGCCACCTGAGCCCTGCCGTGAGATTCGTTTGCCCCTATTGAGCCCTTCACAGCTTGTGACCCTCAAAGGGAACCCCTTCAGCAAGCTCAATCAAAGGCAGCGAAGGCACGATCGGATGTGCCCACTCATCCTTAAAGTAGCTGAACCATGCGTACCTCAGAAGGCATATGGCCGTGCCATGTCCAGTCGTCTTCAGGGATGTATAGACCCCCAGTAGCTGGCATAGCTGCTTGAGCTGTTTAGCTGGAGGCAATGGCTTGTGGCTGACACTGGCGGGTTCTCGCTCAATCTCAGTCTGCCTCGGGGTGCCTCTCAGCCTTTGGGAGCCCAACTTGGCCACGTCCTCATCAGCCTCCAGAAGAGGTATTGCCTGCACGCCACTACGAGAGATATCAATGTGCTAAGCCCCTACGTCGGTGGGGCTGCGTGCTAACTCCACTGAAACTGTATCGAAAAAGATCATTGAATGACCATGTTGTTGAAAAACACTGAGGAAAAAAGGTCCCCGGAAGCATCTTCAAATCATGACCATGAAGGAAGCTGAAGACAGGAATGAGCAAAGCCATCAGACACCTGCTGGAAGACAACTTGAATAGCAGAATAGCACGACACTCCCACTAGAGCCAGAGCTCTCATAGGAACTTACAGCAACACCGTCTATAACAATAATGTGGCTGGAAGGACGGCTGGATGAACACAGTGAATTCGCTGCTGTGCCTCCCTCATGTATGCCATCTGGCCCTGGCACAGGCTTCGTACGGTTCTTAGCGGCCCCCCCCAGAAGCTTTACAAGGGAGGCTAGAGGTACGCCTTAATAACTTAAGGAAGTGGAGCGGCGCCGAGGTAAGCATGTCTATGATACATTGTCTTCAATGTGTTCTTCTGGACTGAAGAGCCGGGGGGCGGAACCTCGCTTTTGCAATGTCAGATCATGCTTGACGTTGACCAAGAATCAAGAATATCAAAGACAGGATTGCTCCGATTGAAACAACATGGAAGAAAGTAATGAGATCTCATCTGACCCACCCCATCCCACCGCAACTAGGCAAGCCTCTGCGGAGAGGCGTTCGGGTGACGCAGGGTCAGAACAGGCAATCTCTGTGATCCACATTGGCTTTCCTTGGGGACAGCGGCCCGGTCTCAAAGTCATAGGACATCACAGAGTCTCTGTTTGCATTAAGAGACTGATGATGAATGCACATGAATGGAACATAGTTCCCTCTTAAGGGTGATTCTTTCCTCTGAGTTGTTGTAACATTGTCTCCTGTGGCGTGACAAAACAGACTCAGGAAAAGTGCATGCAACCAAGGCTGATCCAAGTGGCCAAAAATACGGTAGCGGTCAAGGTGATACTTCAGGCCAGCAGCGTAGCATGTAAAAACATGGATGCCAATGGCATCCACCTGACAGAAGCATAGCACCCACTCGTCTACGGATCCGGGTTTCCTCTGCTGGTGGACTGCCCAAAATGATCTCCAACTTGTGAGGCTATCCATTAATCCTGTCCCGTCAGGCAGGTTCTATCCCTTGTTTGTGGTGGGTGTTGAACATGTTTGAACTGTCAACTCCATGGAGGCCTTGCAGCCCTCGCAGTGTGCAAAGAATTGCTGAAGCCAGTCAATGGGATCCTTAGCATAGCTGCTGGCTACACATGCTCCACAGTAGAAAAAGGAAAGCAAACCATGATAACTCTACGTGGCTTTCATATCATGTAATGTATTCTCATGTATTGTCGTGTGTCTTTATGTGCGTTGCATAAAGGAACTCTTCCATACTTGTGCCACTTGTGGCTGTAAGTATCGTCCTACTACGCACAAACAAAACCTGCAAAGGCAAGCCAAACTCTTCTCGTGCCCTGCTCCTCAGTCAAGAATCCATCGACCAATGGTAGTTCATGGAGGGCGAAACCTGAGTCTTGACAGTGCCATATAAAAAACCATCCCCTCTACGGAATTACGGATACCTTCCTGGGATATGCCGCTGAGCTCCTGACGATGGTCGAAATGCCATAGTCAGCCGCCAATTGTTCAACATCCTTCCAGTGCTCAGCGGCCTGCAGTGCTTAGCACCAGCAACACACGGATCGCTTGACCCAAGACGCATCTCAGCAGGCTAAGGCCACCACAGCAGATGGGTCAAGATCAGCCCTAAGGGATGTACCGAGGTCGTCTCGAAGTCAACGGTGAAAGTTGCACGCTAAAACACATTGAAACGAAAGGCGCTGGTGATTTCTTCCCAGGCGCTGGTTCGGGAAGTTCGGCTCATTGAATCCCAGCAAGGCCGAGCTCGAGCTCGGAAGGCCGCTGGCCTGGCCGAGGCAGCACGTAGCAAACTGTTGCAAAATGGAGCGGGATGTAGACCAGACACCTGGGCTGCAAATACCAAGGGCCTTACGATCCATTGACAGTAGCCGAGGATTCATTTGCATGTTTCTTGTCCCTCCGATGGTCCAAGCATGTCCAAGTTCACACTCCCAAGGCCACTTGACATATTCTGCAAACATGCTTGCATAAAAGTCCCGCCAGCCACAAGCCATGGATGTCTTGTTCCTGTAATCTTCCACCCACCTCGGCCAAAGGAATGGTGCCTGACGTGTGCTGACAATGAGGCCATCCATGCAACACATCATGATACTACAAAGCTCTTCAATCTTGTAGGAACCAAATGACTAGTGCGTGGGGAGCCGGAGCTTCCTTGAGTCCAGTAGTTAATTAGTAGCGGCTAGCCCTTACTTGATTAAGTATGTGCCTACTAAGTGGGCTTTACAAAGAAAAGGCAAAAAGGTGTCAAAGCACTGAAGCACAAGTTCTTCGGAATCCTGCGCCTGCGCCCCAAATCATTGGCACGAAGTCAACTCCAGCCATCTTCCACACAGACAGGTCAGGTCCATCTGCCAGGCCGATTCGAAAGGAGCTTTGATCGATTGCAACGTTCTTCAACTTTGCAGCTTCGTATCTACACCCGGGGACGAACTCCTAGACTCATATGTGGAACTTCGTATCCATTCTGTTAGGCAATTGGTTCAACGGAGCCCCGACGGGTCCCTTGCCATCTGCGAATTCACCCCAATCAAACAGCTTTCTGGCTTTGCTTCTAGTAGCGTCCTTGTTCCTGGATCGGATTGTGCCTGTGATGTTGTGCTCCCAAGTTGCTCCCCAAGAAATAATCTGTGAAAGGCCAGACAGCGCCTCCTGCGAGCCGTCCATGCTGAATGGGATTTGTGATTCATTTGTGTTCACTCCATAAGATTGACATTGATTTACGATGATTTATGCATCTATATATATATGCTATATATTTACATATACGGTGGAAAAGTCCGTCAATATGATCGAACTTTGTCTGCGTATCGCTTTCCTCACACCATTCCTTTTACACATTGCATGCGGTCCGCTGTGAGGAGGCTGTTCTCAATGGCGATTCCACGCCTTGTAGGAGCAAGGACGCTACTAGACTAGCTGGAGGCCATCGCAAGTAGGTTGGAGGCCATCGCTACTAGGAGCAAGGACGCTACTAGTAGCTCCTGTGTTCAAAGCACTTCCAATCCAGGAGGCTACAAAAGCCACCATCCACCATGCACCAACCAATGATCACCATTCTTCAAACACAAAAAATCCATGCAAATCCTACTTTCACGAGCGCCGCCCCAATCCAATCTACAGCAATAATTTCCCTTCAGTCCTCACCCTCCATGTTGGCCCATGTCGCTAAGATCCTGGCTTTGAAGACCTCTCGGTCTCCCCGTCTTGTCTATACTTCTCCCAGGGCCAACAGTCAGCACATTTCAGCTCTTCAAGCGCTGCCTAAGTGCAGGTAGAACACGCACTAAAAAAAGGTGCTGAAACATTCTAAAAACTAAGCAAGTGAGCAGGATTACAGCATATCATCTTGCAATGTCGTCTTACAATATCTTACAACACAAACATTTGCACTCCACTTCTTCAAGTTGGTCGAAGGTAGCGTTCAACTTCTGGGCCCGGTACCTGCACACGTGCCTCCTGCTCTGTCAGGAGCCCTCCCTGAGGAGTCTGCAAGAAAACAATCCTCGGTGACATGGATATGATGCGGATGAAATATCTGGCGTCAGTCGTTATGTAATTATTTGATATTATTTGACCCTCTGCAGGCCCAAACAGCAGGCAATCAACTGCTTCCCATATTTCCCATGCTATTATTTTGGAGTTGGGCGAGATGTCCCACAGGTCATTTGCCAATTGCAGCACTCACGCAGTTCATGCAAGATGCCGTTCGCCGCAGGTAAAGGTTTCGCCCACAAAGTTGCCCTCAACAAACCATACCTCATATCTTTTGCTCATGATCCGTGTTCACAGAAGCCTGCTCTGCTCATTGACCACTTTGATGCTAGTACCAGGACTCTCAGCTGGATTCAGCTAGATAATCGCTCAAGCACAATCAGTAAATCAAAAGGATGTTTGCACAGGCAACAAACATGAGTAGACCAAGGGGCTGCGGCAAAGAGGTGAGAAACAAACAAATTTGAGGTACTCCAGGCACTCTGTGTAAACTCTCCATATGATACTAATGGGTGACAGTAGAGTCCTGAAACAGGTCCCCCGCTTTCTTTCGAGCTTACACCCCAAAAAGGACTGGCCTCTTCGCAGCTTCCCGCCACTGCGGTTCGGACGCAGGCGAGCGCCTGGGCCAAGGCCATGATGAGAGGCACTGGATCCCGAACCCGTGGAAGGTATATACTTCGACTCGATCTTTCGTGGAACATATGTTGCAGGGCCGTTGTCGGGGAGAAAAAACAGTGAAGGGCCCTTTCTTGTGGCCACCATGGCGGTCAGCTGTTCTGAGCTTGGCACGACAAGAGTTACGGCGAGGGTAAGGAAACGCGGCCTGCTCGCGACAGCAACAATGCAAAGAGTAAACGGAGAGTGCAAATATGGCAATCAAGTTGTATCAACGTACCGCTTTTTCAGGAATACACAGTTGGCCGAGAGATTCATATGCCCACTTAGACGATACGATCCAGCGGAGTTGGGCAGCGCTCTCTCAATTCCAAATCGCAAGTCAATATCGATGGGATATTGAACGTCATGGCTTCGTAACTTTAGAGCCAAATGATTTCAGGAAGACGCTGCTGGCGCCTTGACATCAATCCTTGGTCTGCAATATTCCTCGGTGGGTGCGCACGCTCTTCTGCCAAAAGGCATGCAAACTCACAACTCTGTTGGCTTCAGCCATGAAATTTGGGCGACAGTTGGCTTGACTCCAGCATACTCCAACGATCTGAATTGCAAATGATTTCAAAATGAGGTTGGAGGCCATCGCTATTGGGTCGATTCAATTTGTCAATGTCATCAATCTCGCAGTTTCGGGCACCCCACGAAGCGGGCGAGTTTTGGCACCGAGACGGGTGCTCGATACCCCGCCGTCGCTCAGCAGGTGCTTCTGAGCAAAACTTCAGGCGGTAAGACCGAGATCGTCGCAGTCAGTCTGCCATCCCATCAACAACTCATGTCATAATATACATACACACACACATATATATATATATATATACACGGTATTTGTGTGTGATTCATATAGGTTCAGAATATGTCATGTTTCATGACGCTGGTCAGTCACTGGTCAGCTGTCGTTAGAATCTGCACAACCGACTGCGGAGGGACAGGAGACGATGATATCATACATCATCATACCCTCTTGTGTTGCAAAGTACATGTGCGACCCATCACCGTCCAGAATGAACTCTGCCCAGGGTGTTTCAGACTCTTTTGCATTTACCAGTCATTGCAGGAAAGGGCTGTCCCTCTCCAAATTGTATGGGCATTCTGGCGCCAGTTTGGACAACCATGCTGTCAGCCCACCGTCGACATGCAACCCATCAGACCTCAGTGACCAATCACCATGTGGTTGTGGACGATGACATAGTGCTGAGAACACGTTCACGATCCCAAGCAGCAATCTTAAAAGCAATGGAAACGTACAACACGCGGCATTACGAATGACTGCAGGCTGATTCACAAAAGGCAACCTTATCACACCCATAATATGAAAGAATACATGCTGCAGGAGGTCCATGTTGAATTCGTTCTAGGCATCATCCGGGGTCACCCACCTGTGAAGCACCTCAGAAAATGGAGCACCTCAGAGAATGCGCATTCCAGGGCCAGCTTTTATGAGCCTTTGAAAACCAACAAATGTCGCTGTGCGCCGCTTGATATGAGATAGTAAGGCAGTGGCCTTCCATCTTAGTATGGCCAGGAACCCCTAGTGGCGTCCTTGCTCCTAGTAGCTCTGTTTCTTCAGCTGTGACCATCGTCTCTAGGAGCGCTGCTGTCCCTTGCCCTCGATCTGCCAAAGTTGCTCCCAGAGTTCAGCTGTGGCCTCAGAGTGCCAGAGGGCGGCCAACGCTGAAATCAGCAGAACATGGCAGGACATCGCAGGCTATCGTCTGCCTAACAAACCTCTCAGATGTGCAACCCCACAGAAACATAGGAAGCGATAAACCATGACATGAGATTGAACAAAACTACAGCATTCCCAATGAAGACATAAAACACGGCAGCCACCCCCACGTGTTGCAAATCAAAAACATTATTTGGATTTATTTGGCAATTGTGGTGGAGAAATCAGCGCTGCGAACGTATTTTGGAGGCTACCTACCTTCACTTCTTCTGGTCAGCCCTGTATCCACTGCCACGTATTTTTGGACGCTTGCAACTTCTGAGATAATATACCTCCTGAGTTTAAGGAGTGTGTCTCTACATCGAAGCTTTCAGGCTGAACTTGTGAAGCCTGATGAAGCATCAAACTTCAATGGTAGATGGGGGGTGGCACAGCGTGTCTATTTTCGACAGCACTGTCCTTGACAAGAGCTACTGAGTGCTGGTCACAAGTGTAGCTGACCTCACTGGTCACAAGTCTTCCTCCTCATCCTCATCATCTCCTCCAGGAGGCACCTCCTCACAGAAGAGAAACATTCTCATGAACCACTCTTTGTGATTGCCAATTATGGACATCCTTGAACAGGCAGCGGTCAATCACGCTGCGAGGGAAACTGAGGCAAGAGAGGGAACATGTTGGTTGAGAAGTCCTGTGTTTGAAACTCGCCCGTCTGTTTAGCCTGTGGGGTTCGCTAGCCCTTCAGCCGACCCACGAACCTGCGCTGAGCACAAACGGGCTTGTCGCACACAAAGCCAGTGGTCCGTGATGGCACCAAAGATCCGAGCCTCATCGATACACCCAGCCCAGTGCATTTCCAGCGTTTTCTCATGTTTTCTCCAAACTGATGTCCTAAAAGAAGAAAAAGATTAACAAAGGAAGGTAGAGGCACTGTTATGTATATTACAAAGTAGTTCACTTCTACTCATTTCCCAGCCCTCCCAGCCCTCCACCCTGGGATGTTCTTTTCCTCAAGGTAGCGTGATCTGACTGCTCGTTCTTGGTCATCCTTCTCCCCAAGAGAAGTAGACTAGCAGCCTGCGCCACTTCCAACCTCCTCTGACTCTGTCGCGCAAGGCTTCTATCTGTTCTCCAACCTTTCTTCTTATTTGAACTGTCCTTCCACACGACTGGAATCATCTATGGTCCTTGCAACAGCACAACTTCTCTGTCTATCTGTTGCCTGTGCAGACCTCTCCGTCAAACTCGCGTTCGACTCTCTTCTGTCCCCCTCTTTGGGACATGTTTAACCCCTTCTCGAGGGTGACCTCGTCTTTTCTAGGAAGGTCATTCCCCTCCCATCGTTTTCTTCCTTTACAATCTCCGTGCCTGGTCAACCGTTGACTCACACTTCCAGCCCAAGACGATGCGGTTCTCCTTGTCGACGGACTCCCTCGTCAATTGCGAGCATCCTCGGCGATGAATTCCGTATCTGCCCATGCCTTGTCGGGTGTGGCCTCCCTCATCGTTGACGTTTCGCATATCCCTATGTGGATCTTCTCGGTGACGACGCTTTTCGTCCCCTATCCCAATGCGAACCGTCCTGATGGTGACGATCTCCGTCAGAAGATGGTGGGCTTACTTAGTTCTTGACGAAGACAATCTTTGTCGTCTGATGCGGTCCTCTCCGGAGCTGGTATCCTGCGTCCGCCTGCGTCCTATCGGACGTGGTTTTTTTCCCCGTTGACGTATCGCACTCTCAACTTCTCAACGTGCACCTACTCGATGATGAAGAGCTTCGTCCTTAGTCGAGACAAGGCGGGACAACGTACTCCGTCCTACGTTTCTTATCTCGGTTCATTAGCTATGTCTCGGCTGACTCTCCTCGAGCAGTACCGCGTACCGGGTTGAGGGTTGGCCACTTCTGTCCAAGTCCTCTCAGCTCTGTCTGGCGTTGAGCCACTCGACATGGACGGGCGGTGCCGCAGACACTAAACGGCTCCTTCATCGTGGCGCCCCTCCGATCTTTCTCGAAATCGCAACCGTCGAACTGTTATGGGCTGCTCTCCAAAGGTCTTGAGCAGTCTGGTTGAGCAGCGGGTTGACAGGCCTTGACCCTCCGCCCCTGTTCCTCTCAGCGCCGCTCCAAACCACTGGTCCTAAGCAGCCTCCCGAACCTTGGGCAGCTCGATCTAACAGCGGGTCGACTGGCCTTCCGGCCATACTTCATCCCCCCTGCCTCAGCAGGCCTGAGCTCCTCCAACTGAGCTACTGATCTAACTTCAGCACAGCCATCCTGCGCTCTTTCGACTCTGCAGATTCGAGCTCTTTCGACTTGCCGCTGATCTACTGTAGCACAAACATGATCTGTGCTCAGTGTTGGTTGAGTAACAAGCTCAACCTTGAACCTTGAATCTCCCCTCTGCTCCCTACGCATTGGTCTCACGTTCTCGGACTCCCTAACTGAGCAACAAGTCGAACGTTAACCCAGGTCCTCAGTTCTTGGACTCCCTGACTGAGCCACCCGTCGAACCTTAAGCCGTGGCTCCAAATCCTATTCTCCAACTCTCTGTACCCCATGTAGCTGCCTTGGCACACCATGATATGTGCCCAGTTCTGTTGGGCAGCAGGTCGAACCTTGACTTATGATCTGTGCCCGCTGTAGCTGCCGCGTGTTCTCGAACTCCCTAATTGAGCAGCCGGTCCAACCCTTGTACCATGCACTATGTCCCACCTGCAGCTTGACGAACCTTGCACTATGGGCTGCGTCCCTTCTGCCGCTTGTCATAGAGGCTGCCCCTCAAGTTCTCGAACTCCCTACACGAGCAGCGGGTTGGCCTTGTTGTCGCAGCCGTACACACTTTTGAGCTCCCGCTCCCTCGAGCCTTGCCGAGCCCTTACCTGTGTCTACGTGCATCTTGTTCTCCTCCTCCCGAATTCCTAGCTCTACCCTGATCGCCATTTGCCTCTCCAATTGGCTCTCAGCCAATAGCCGGTGCGGCGGCACGCCATGCCAGGGGCTGTTCGCGGCACCGGGTGGGCCGATCATGAAGTCTGCTCCCAGCTGGCCCAGCACCCGCTTAACGGGCTTGTTTTCCAAGGACTGGGGCTTCTCGCCCCCATCCTCCGCCCGGGCCAGCCAGCTAACTTCACTGTCGTACCTGCCTGGCAGGTGAAGCACCTCGAATCGCGGGACCTCGAGCAGCTCAAGTAAGTTGTAGCGACAGCTCGGCCACGACGTAGTGCAGGGACACGGATCCGGCGCAAAGCTGGTGAGCCATTCCCAAGGCGACCACACTGTCCGCCTTGATAGCAATGGCGTGTCCTCGAAGCCGATGCTGCCACAACTTGACTGCCCTCAGCATGCAGTATGCTTCACGCACTGCTCTGTTGGAGGGGTGATTTGACTGCAGCTGCAGGAGCTGCTCCTCTAACGGGGTGAAGGGAGCTTCAAAGCCCTCGGCGACTCGGCGATCGTTAGCTCCAACGTTGGAGGATCTACCTGGAACAGGATCCCCCCCATCCCCGTTGCCGACGCTGCAGTTGCAAGTCCCCGCAGGTCGTTCCAACGCAACGGAACTGTCTGCCGCACCAGCTTGCCTGCGGCGATTTGGAGGGCTTTGGCTATCCAGGGAAGGGCAGTGCCAAGACGAACACTGGCAACCATTCAGGGCCCCGCTTCGGCCCCTTTAGCCCTTTTCTGCGCGTGGACTGTCTCATCTGGTTGCTCCGTTTCGTCCTGTTTCGCGTCTCCCACCACTGCGTAGTGCGTAGAAGACGGACGCCACCCCCTGCAGCCGGGAGATTGGACACCATCTGCTGTGAGACGCCCATTTCGATCGCCTCCGTCTTGCTCGCTCTCAGCGTAATACCGACCAGGTTATGCTAGATCCTCTGCTCTCAGCTCTTCCGTTACCACGGGGAGATGGCCTGCTAGATCCCTGATTTCGATCGTCACGAACTCTATATAGCTCCAGGCGCTCAGGGGATCCAGTAATCGACTGACCCCCATCCCATGGCAGCCTTCCTGAGGGATCGAATCACATCGACCCCCTTGGGAAGAACCACGCGCTCCTGCACCTGTGCTCGAAGGTTGCCTCCGGCGTCCTCGACATCAAGCGTCAAGGCTTGGAGCTTCCTGCCGTCTGGGCGATCCTTCTCGATGAGGCCCACCCGCGACACCGTAGTTACCCCAAACTCTCGCTCTGCCTCTTCCCACGGCAACTTCTGGCACTTCCCCTCTTCTCCAACCCTACGCAGTTCTTGCTCAATCACCGGCCGGTACTTCTCCTCCGTCAAGAAGTTCCGCCAGTGCTTCACAACTTCCAATTCCAGCTCAGGGTCTTCGGAATCCATGTCCTCCTCGTCGACCGTTGGAAACACTCCGTTCGACATGGGGATCTGCGTCGCCATACCCAGGGGCGCGCCATCAATTATAAACCACGCCACACTGTCATCTGGGTCTCTCGTCGCTTTCTGCCACGTCAACATATAGTTCCCCCCCATCCCCTCTGCACCTCGAACACGGACTCCCCCTTGTTCAACACCTGATAGCGCCACCACTCCAGGTTTAGCGTCCGCTTCCAACTTGACACCACCAACTTCGCGATCTTCTCGCAGAGGGCTTTCGGATACCTTTCCGAAAGGTCCATCTTCGCCAGCTCTGCGGGTGATTGGTGCCTGACCCAGTTCGGACACTTACACACCCTCGACAAAGTATCCAAACCTTCTAGGTGCCCTGCCCATTTGTTGGACCTCTTCGGGACTCGGACTCCGCAAGTCCACTCAACGGACTCGCAGACACCTGGTCCCTCCAGCAACCCCACGGCGAGTATGCTCCCAAGTCCCTTCAGGGACTCGAGACTTCCTCGCCCCAGGCAAGCTCATCTTCCCAAGCTCGCCCTGACTCTACTCTTCTGGCTTGCCTCAGCCTTCCTCGGGACTCGGACTCCGCAAGTCCACTCAACGGACTCGCAAACACATGGTCCCTCCGGCAACCGTCCATCGTCGAGACCCACGTCCACAAGCCCACGCAGGGGGGGGCTCGCGGTTCCTCCGAGGCCTCTCCGGACCGCGCCTACCTCACCTGACCTGAACTACTCCGCTTCGAGTGTCCTCATGTTCGACACTATCTCCATCTCGATGAACTGTATCTCGAAGCTGAAGGCTTCATCTCTCCGGACCAAGCCCGCATTCTCTGACCTAAGCTAATTCGCCTAGAGTGTCCTTTCCCTGCCTGTTCCCGTCCTGCGTCATCACTACCTTTGACTCCGCGGGCCTCAAGCATGTTCGACACGATCTCCACCTCGATGATCTGTATCTCGAGGTGACGGCTTCATCTCCTTATCCTCCTCCGCCTTGCACCTCCGCCAACTCTGTCTCCCGTGCTTTCCAATCAGGGTCCAAATCTCCTTCTCGAGCCTTCAATTCAACTCGACCTCTCGATCGTGGCCTCGACTGGTTCTCAAGTTCATGCGCTACTTTGTAACTCTCGAGCGGCCAAGGTCCTCGAACTTTCCCTTCGCCTCCTCGAACGTGGTCTCAAGCTAATTCCAGGCTCCTCTTCAAGAAACTTCCGGGGCCTCGGACTCTCTGAACCTCATAGTTTACGAACTGACCTCGGGCTTTATCCACGGCCGCCAGCACCAGTCCCACATGCGGTCTACCGCGCGGCCATGACACTGCCCCCCAAATCAAAAAGAAATATTAAAACAAGGTGGAGGAGGGTGTGCTTGAGCCAAAATGGCACAACACCCACCTCCACCCAAGTAAGCTCCTACTGTGTATGGTGTATGAATACACTCAATCTCTCTCTCTCTCTCTCTTTGTTCTTCTTTCTGTGGGAGTGCTTTCCTCAAACCATGAGCATGGGCTGCCCTCGCCTTGTGTGCCTCAGCTTTGTCGACGACAGCTGATCGGAAGGCCCTCACTGGCCAAAGCAAGCTTATGAAAAAATAACTGTTGACACCTTTGGGAGTTCGTCTGCTGATGATCAACTGTTCACAAGGACCATCACAAACCCATGGACCCATGGAAAGAAAAACAAAACAATCCTGGAGGGAATCCAAAAATATGCAGGTCTATGCCGGAGTCTACGCCTTGTCAGCTTCAAGCACATCGAAGAAACTGCCTCCTTTGAGGAATCACTCGTCCCCAAGAGTTGAAAGTGTTCGCTCCTCGAGGTGACGCATCTGCGAATGTCACTGAAGCTCGTCTGTAACTGTTTAAGTATGAAAAAGGGATGAAGAGGGAAAGTTGTGTAGGTATACGTGTGTATATATATATATATATCATGTATATATTTGTATTATTATATGTGGACCACTCTGGTCACCTGGCCAAAACGGCGGCCTGTGTGTTTACTGTCAAAAAGAACGGAGGCGCATGGGCATGCGGAAGAGCTTCGTAAGTGCGGTTCTTTTGTCACCACGAACGTCCGAAAAGTCATGGTAGCCCAGCTTCCTCAGTTTCACTGTCACGAACAAACAGTGCACGTCACAAACCCTTTAAACAAAAACAAAAAACACACAATCTAGCAAGCACGCGTACCGTGCACTGGCATAGCAATGACCACACACCCTGTACCAGGGTATGAATCCTGCCCGCCCCGACGCTCTGGGACAGCTCACTGCCAAGTTTCATGTGCCCCAACTTGGCATCCAAGCGGACCAACTGTGTGGGGAACCGCTGAGCAGCACAAATGCCCTCATCGAAGGCCTGAGCACGGAGTTCAATTCCAACAGCTTATGATCTACTGTATAGACTATAGAATCTATGACATCCTATGAAGGCACCGCCGCAAGGTCCCAACAATCGGTTGGGTTTCATGCTGAGCCCAGTGGAGAACATCTCCCAGCACTGCCCAGTCCATTCCAGCTTTTGGATGTCCAGGCAGTCTCGGAGACAAACATTGGCACCAGACCACTCTCTCCAAAGCAAACAAACCCCAACACCATCGCCTCTTCAGTGAGGCGCCGCCTGTCCTTCGCCTTGACACGCCTGGCCCAAGTGAGACAAACATTCCAAGAGGACGTTGCTTGGTACAGAACTTCCTGACCTTGGCATCTTCTCCACCAAGCCACTCCGCAGGGCTTTGGCAGTCCAAAGGCACGCACTGCACGAGAGGGCATTTGCTTCAGGCAAAATTTCCTCAAATATGCAACTGTCACAGGACTGGGTATGAGTGGGCAGGCCCCCAAAAAAAAAAACATGGAGAAAAAGTGTTTCGCCGCCACCCTGTGTGAAAGGCAAAGTGCCCCTCAAACTCAACATTGCCCAGTCAAGGCACGAGTAGTTATTTTGGTGCCGAGCCGAATGACCACAAAGGGCAAAACACTTGCTTTCTTGGTTTGCTCAGCGAAGTCACATCAGCTACTAGCCCAGGCAGTGCTATGGCCACGAGCATGTAAAGCATCGCCAAATTGATGACAAATGAACAACGGCGAAATGGCATGCAAGCTTTAATGCTAGAGGCCATGGGACTTACTATGAGAGCGCAAACTGTGGGATAACATCCTCCGCTGGTCTCCGTGCAGGGAGCTTTGCTTATCTTTGGCTCCTTTCGGTTCAAAGCGTACACAAGCAAAGCGTTGCAAAGCTTCCAAACGCTTCAATACATCTGTATATTGGTGCTGTCCATGATGAGCTTGCGCAGCTTCTGCTTGAATGTGACCCAGTCTTTGCGGAACCCTCTTTATCTTCTTGCAGGTTTGTCGAGTCCAAGGACTTTATATATATATAATGATTGGTTATAAAAAAAATATCGGTTTGATTTAAAGTGGTGGGCGCATGCTACCCAACCATCGGGAAAAATACACTCTGGACTCTGGACTATTCTAGTGTTTCATGTTGACATTGTATAGTGAACATGTGACAGTGCATAAGGGCCCGCTGCAGAATGAAGCTTGAAAAGTGAGCGTGGGCGTACGTGGGAGTTAGGGCAGCTTGAGTGAAGCGTGTGCCAGAACCTCTCCATCGATCTCTTAGAAGCCTCTAGGAAGCAGTGAAATCATGGCTAGTGTAGATGTTCACGTAAACACATCAAACTTTCAGCACCTTTTCAAGCAAGTCGGGTCATCCGTCAGTCGGCTTGTCGGCCTGTTGTCGCCAGTTGCCACGGCTACCCTCGGAAAACTGGAAGCGGTGAAGCGCACGCCTCCCATCTCACTTTGCCAAAGGCTGGGAGCCCCGAGAGGGTCGACTCTGAGAGCTGACTCTGCGGTGCTTCTTGGCTCGAGGCTTGGCTTCAAAGGTGAGCGAAAGGATTCGTCTGTGGGATTCTGTGGGCAGTCTTAGAATCATGCTCTCGCTGGGGCATGCGCTGACTGTCAACTGAGGTACCAAATGCAAAAGAATAAGTGGTAAGAATGTCTATATAAGTATATACATACTGTATGCGTTGTCTATTCCCATGTTATACATCATCGACAAACAATACCAGGTGGGAGTCCATCAGGCCAGCCGCGCCAATCACTATGCACATCTTATTGAGTGAGTGGAGTTGACTCAAGGTCCTCAGTCTCTCCGAGAGCCAGGAGTGGATCTTCATCATCCTGGGCTCGCTGAATCTTGCTGACATGCACTCAACTCGCAAAAAAGGAAAGTGTGCAGCAAGTTGTGATCGGAGTTGGCTGTTGATGAAACTTGGCGCCACCTGTGCAGAGCCAACAAGAACAACATCGGCTCCCAAGGTCCAAAACCGTTTTATGTCCAAACCCTTGACTTGGCTGGGGTTCCGGAGCGCTCTCGGTGACTGAAGCTCGTTTGCCCTGCATGGCATGGAATGCGGCTCAAGCTGCTAGCAAGGTCAAATCATTGCAACAGGTTGATGAAAAGGCACTGATGGATCACAATGGACCTCTCAACCGACCGGGTTTGAACCACCAAGTACGTGCAAGTACGTGAAGAATGGCAAGCACTATGCGAGTTGAAGTTTGGGCGCTCAGCCAGGCCTCTGGATCTTTGAAGGAATAAAAGCGGGAGATGCTCTTGAGATCCACACCTGAGCCGCCAAGGCATGCTGGCGAGATGCCCCTAGGCTTAGTGGGGGAGCAACGTCAAAGGCCTGTGCCTTCCTGTCCTGCATCACCAAGCGCCCCCTTGTTGAATCTCCATTGACAAAAACAAAGTTTAGATCCTTGGAGGGGGTGAAGCCTTTTCACTGCACAAGCCCAACAAAAATAGTGGGAGAGCTAGCGGCCCTGCAATTAAGCTGCACGGGTGACTAACCTGGAGGGCAGTGGCTCTTGCAGGTCAAGGGTCGCTCTCTGTCAGCTTCTTCCAGTGCTTGTGAAAGCGCAGGGGGAGGGCATCCAGTCTCGGTACACTGCGAATTGCCGCCCTGATCCTTGGTGCGATTTTTGGTTTGAGGGCACCATACCATGCATGAGGATGTGGAAGCCTGTCCTGCCCACTGCAAACAAACAACTCCAAACTTATTCCATCTTCCCTCATGAACAGCCCAAAACACTGAAAACCCATCGCAACCACCCTTCAATGGTCGAGGGCACCGCGATGAGCCCCAGAAAGCGTCGCACGTCGCTGGGCTTCTCCAGGCGAAACCTGCAGGATTTCGCACGATGTCAAAACAATTCTAGGCTGAATCGTGACGGTCTTCATGTGCAGATAAAGGTATAGATATAGATTTAAGATATAGATTTAAGATAAATATATTGTATAGGTATAAACAAAGATATTAGACAATATTTGATATATATATATTATATGTATGGACATAGATCTAGACATAGATAGACATAGACATAGACATAGACAGACAGAGAGACAGAAACAGACAGACCGATAGATAGATAGATAGATAGATGTGTCCAAGCGTGCGTCTATGTGTGTCTAAAAATCCATTGCCTGATCGTGGGATTCACGGAACATGAAATGCTCTATACTCTATGCACCGAAAGATGACAGCATGTGCTTGATATTGCAAAAAGCTGATGTGGGGGATCCTCGAACAGGACCCAACTAACGCGCTGTGTGATCGAAAATGATTGAAGAAACGGAGAGCCCGCCTGGCCGCTGTGTCGCCAGGGCCGACCTTTACAGTCAGGGCATCCTTGGGAGCTTCCAAGAACATCGACCTCAGTGGCCCAAAGCCGAAGACAAGAGGTGATTCGAGGTGAATTGTGAATGGTCTTCATGATGTCTTCATGTCTCTTCCCAGTGATTCACAGTCTGACATGCCATTGTTATCTGCTAGCACAAATATGCCGCTCAAATAAGACTGGAAATGAATGCTGCTATACTAGCCTTTGACTGGGTCTTATGAACGCTTCAATCGAATCCACCTGAAGTACACTGAGTTGGTTGATTGCCTTGGCAGTTTTAACTCGAATGTATTTTTGAGTGTGCTAAGTGCTACGAAATGCTACGAATACAAATATAAGTCATGAGGGCTCTGAGCACTGGAATCGATACTAAGTGGAGAACTCGTCAGTACGATCGTCCCCACAAATCAGGATCTCCACGAATGGCTTTGCGACACTGCTTTGCCTCTGCTGATCCGACCAACCGACTGGGTGGGATTCCGCTGACTTTCTCACAGCAAAATTGAATCGACCAAAATTTCATCTGTATACTTGTATATGTATATATGTATATCTGTGTGATTGTGTGTGTGCACTGTACTACAGTTAATTGATGTTAATTGTATCTCTGCCGAATGTCTGAGGACTTCAAAAATAAATAATGCCATAATTAGAAAGCCGGTTTGCAGCACGAGGTGCTGCTGGAGCGCATTGCCAACCACAACACCCTTCCTCACCGCCAAGGATGCCACTTCCACAATCTTGTTTCCCTGGCTGATTTGACATGGCAAATTTCCGAGTGAAAGCGCCAGCCTTAGCTTCGGTCAATTGCTTAGCTGCCCCAGGAATCCCACAATCCCACAGAACTCAATATGCAGCTTCCAACACAGAGCAAAATGACTCTCACACTTGCCAGTCCCCCACTCCCGCCCCACCCATCTATGTCGTGTGGGAAGCATCATGACACCCGTGCTCCGTGTCTCCCACGTTTCTCATTGCTTGCTCAAAACCTTCATTGCCGCCTCGTTCGTCCAAGTAGCTGATGCATGAGCTCTTTGGCTTTGAACTGACCATACTCCTCGACCAGACTCTCGAAGAACCGAGCAGGAAGAGGGGAAATGACACTGGAGATCCATGCGACAGGCCACAACGGCAGTTCTTTCGTGCTGACCGCGGCGCGCGCGGTTGGATGGGCGTGGTTGCTTTGCGAGCTCGCACCCATTGATAAGGGTTAAAATGAACATATGGCCAATCAGGCAAAGTACTTCGATCCACGGAAAGGATGTCAGGCCAATCACACAAGTACTTCGATCCACAATGGGCCTGTTGAATTTCTGTAGCTACACTGTACACACGAAAGGCGCTTCACTTCAGTGTGACTGTACTCAAGGCCTTTGCCCAGTATGACATGAACCTACAATGAGAATAGTAATCAAAAGGGTTGAAACGCGTGCAATACCTTTTAATTTCAGAGTTCTGCACATTGCTATACTGCAGATCTAGACATGAAAGCCACCAAAGTCACTCTTGGACCTCTTCATAGTGGGGTACTCAGAAATCTCATCAAGCTCCACAAATGTCTTTCGCACCACGGTCTTAACGTCCTCCCCTTGATCGCTGGTGGAACAAGGACATCTTGCAATCGTTGCAATTAGGACTGGACGAGCATCTTCCACCAAACTGGGTGCTGTAGTTCCCCCGTTTGCATGGCGATAGGCCGCCTTTTGTATGCTAAAAGCTTCCATAAAGGAGGCTCTCACCTGCTCCCAATCTGATCGCAGCACCACACATTGGTATTGGACCAAGCTACGGCCCTCCAAGCTCTCATAAACCGGTATGTCATGCTCAAGAGCTGCCATAAAGTCTCGCATATACGCAGCCAAAGAAAACCTCTTTTCTTTGCTCCGAGCCCACAGAGTCCATCCGCGACTTGTCTTTGCCGAGATGGTGATCCTCTCAATTGAAGAGGTGGTTTCGCTCTCTGTGTAGTCCTGTTTGTCTGGAAGCAACGGCGGTCCACGATTGAAGCTGCGCATCCCTAGAACCATGTAGAGCCTCGCATCCCGCAAACGCATCTTACGGACCGCACCACGGTTCAGAAACCTTGCCATCGCCAAGCGGGCCGCCTCTGCGAGAAAGCGGAACAAGGGCGAAGCCCAATAGGGCCACTTGTCTTCAGGTGTGCTGAAGACCAGAACTGTTCTAAAGCTGCTGGTCCCACCTTCCTTGCGAGCTATGAGAATGCCATCTTGCCCTGTTCCATGATAGTCCTGGAATACTGCATAAGCGCAGTCACCATGTTCGGGGAAGTCTCGACGCAGCTGATGTCGGGCAAGGATGGGCTGTTGGTCATAGAAGAAGCTGTTAGCGAAAGGGCCCACTGAGTTGCCAAAGAGCACTGAGCCAATGCGGAAGATCCACATGGTGGTGCTCCTTTCGACCAGTGTATCGCCAGGAGCGTAAGTTTCCAGCAGCTTCACTTTGATCTTCAATGACTCATCCTCACACGAGGTGCCTCGTATCTCAGGCCTCACGAACAAATCGCAGGATCTTTCTGGGGCGTGCTCAATGAAAAGATTCTTGGATTCAAACCTGATCAAATGGCCACCCCAAGGAGATGAACGATGAGACAATGATGCCTCTTGAGTTC